TCTGTCACTAACCATACACCACCCCCACCCTCCAGCCTCCGGTTCCTCATCTGTGAAACAATAATAATAATAATAATTATTATTATATTATTGTCACAGTGTTATGATTATAATACTAATTCTAATATGATAGTCATGTTCCAAATGATGGTCAAATTGCTTAAGATTTAAAAGCATCAGAGCATCTACTGTGGTGAATATAAAGAACACCCAAGGATTCTTCAAGAAGTCTGTGCAAAGATGGAATTATAGTACAAATGTATCATGATGTCAAAAAGTTTGAAATCCATATATAGTTTTTTCACAATTTATACACATTTTCCATGAACAAGACCCACCTCACATGGTTCACCATTTTTATTATGCAGAAGTCTAAGTTTATTGTTTAGAATGCTCTTTGCAACAATAATAGTAGTAGAATGAGAAATAATAAGGTATTCAGGGTTTACGTATGCCCTGCCCTAGGGGATTTAAATGTAGCGGCATTTAGTCTTCAAAACAACCCCATGGGGTAGATACTATTATCATCACCCCCATTTTATAGAGGAGGAAACAGAGCAAAGAGAGGTTAAGTAACTGGTTCAAGGTCCCATGAGTCCTCAGTGGAGGAACCAGAATTTGAACAACAGCAGACTGACACTCTTGTGATTGTAACTTTCAAAGTGACCAGCCAGTCTGCTCCCTGGCACTGAGATCCACAAAGCTTCTAGAAATGTCTCTTCAGTCATACTGCTGAAAGGATTGACGATCTGCTTAAGCAGTACCCTAAAGTCCCTTGCTCCTACACTATGTTCACAACCACCTGGCAAAAGCCCTCCCTCTCCCAAACCTTGATGATCTCAAAGTAGACTCCTCCTTCCATAACTGCGTAACTACTAATCTCAGTTGGGCTCCTGCTCAACATTGTCTGAAACAACTATTTCACATCTCCATTCTCCTGGCCAGGGTAGAAGGAGGTAGGGGAGGTGGACAAGGATGCTGCATTTACACTGAATGGAAACGCCACCTTCCGTTGACTTTCTCTAGTTGTAAGAGGGGGAGTGCTCCATCTCCTACTCAAATCGGATCCATCCGCTTGTGGTTTGAAGTCCACCTGCTCCATCTTTTCAGAAAACTGACATGACAGGTTATCATCTTTTCTCCTGTCTTTATCCTTTCTCCCTTTACAGAGAGTCCTTTCTGTCAGTGCTCATTGCCCAGTTAGCACCTATGTGTAGGAAATCCTTCCCATACCCACTCTCTCCTTCAGCTGCTGCCTCTCCTTACCCCTCCCTTGTCCAGACAAAGGGCTCTAGCTGTTCCCTTTTGCTCACCTTCCATTCCATTCTGGCTTCTGTCTCTACCACCGCCCCCCCTCCCCCATCAAATACTACTCTGCCTTCATCATCTCCATTAAAAAAAAATACAAAACAAAACCAAAAATCTTTACATTTACATTCTTATCTTAACTAGTTTTTCAAAGTTGGTCTTAGAGTACCTGCTGTTAGGCCAGCCTGTGGTGTGGTGGTTAAGGTGTCTAGATCCCACATGGCCAACTGTGTGGTTTGAGTCTTGGACCCAGCAGCTTGAAAAACACACCAGGCATGGGTACGAGTGTGCCTATAATCCCAACAAGAGAATGGAGAAGGGACTGCAGTGAAGCCAAGAACCTCCCTCCCCTCCTCTGCATACTGGCGGGGGAGGGAGGAATGATTTCTTTCTGTCTTTCTCAGAAGAGCACACATACCCTATAGCAAAAACAAACAACAAGAACAAAAGACTATCTACTTCATGGGGTTGTTGAAGGATTCGATGAGTCAATGAAACACATAACCGCATACATGGCACACAGTAACTGCTAAGTGTCTGCTATTCTCTTCCGTTGACTTAATCTCTCTCAGGGTTTCAATTGCCATTTCTAGGTAGTTCCCAAATGCAATGTCATCATGAGTTTCAGACAAATATACCCAACTGCTAGTTCATTATCTTTACTTAGATGTCTTTCAAGACCTCAGACACAATCTGTTGAAAGTGAAACTTCTCATACTCTGTTCAAACTTGGTTTGAAGGGATCGGAGACTACTTTGAGAATTCAATAAAAAATAAGGTATCTTCTCATAAAAGCTAACAAAGCACATCATTTTGCATACAACTTGAAGCAACTCAAGGACCCCAAATAAAGGATTACTGCCTTAGCAGATGTGTCACTTGAGCTGAGTCTTGAAAGAAGAGTACAGTTTCACTTGGTGGATGGGCATGCCAGGTGGGAGAGGCATAGCTGTGAAGAGGGCAGCGTGACTGAGACAAGGAAACAGAAAAACCTGTCAACGGAGCAGGGAAGGCTGAGAAACAAGACCAGAGAGAAGGAGGGGCTCCATAATGTTGGAGCTTGTAGGCCGTGCTAAGCTTTGCACTTTATAGGTGACAGAACCATAAAAATTTGGAATAGAGGGAGGAACAATCAGATTTGCACTTGAAAAATAATGAGAGCAAACAGTTAAAGAATGCTTTCTACATACGTCATACACAATCTCAACAGGTAGCTATAAGAAAGCTGAATGGGGGGGCTGGGAGAGCAACCTCCAGAAAACTAGGGAAACTTTGAATAGTGATAACTAAACTAAAATTCAAGATATATATGACCACGAGGCAAATCTAAGAATAATAAGCATATGTTGAAACTATTTTATTTGACTAGTTGCATGCCATTTTATCTTTATCTCTCTCTCTTTTTTTTTTTTTTGAGAGATTTTTTTTTTTGCTATAAGGTGCATGTGCTTGCTGGAGAGACAAAGTAAGTCAGACAGAAAGTAGAAAATTAACCCCCAAAGGCTCAATCTCAATCCCTTCTCCTTTATTCGCTTCTCAGGATTTTGGGCGCGCGCACACACACACACACACACACACACACGCATCCAGTGTGATTTTTTTTTTTTTGAGAGGTTTTTGCTATATGGTGCGTGCTCTTGCCAGACAGAGACAGACAGAAAGTGAGACATCACCCCCCAGGGGGATAGCCATGCCACAATCCCTTCTCCTCCATTCTCCTCTCGGGATCTTGGGCATGCACGCACACACGCACACGCACCTGGCATCAGTTTTAAGCCACCAGGTCTGGGACTTGAACCGTAGTCGACTACATGGGAGTCCAGCGACATAGCCATTATGCTAACTGCTGGTCCCCCCAGTGTGATTTTTAAGCTGCCAGATATGGGACTTGAACCAGAGTCAGCCACATGGAAGTCCAACACCTTAACCACCACGCCACCTGCTGGCCCCTTACCTCTTTGTTTAGCTTAGGGACACTAGTGATACAGTAAGAATTCTTTACACAGTTCTGTCTTGTTACAAGGAAACAGTTTAGTAACAGAGGCAGAGAACAGAAGCTTCCTCTCCTCCCCTTGGTGTGACCAGTGAGCCCCTCCCAGGAGCCCTGCAGCTATCATGCTGATGTCTGGGTCCCAGGGTGATATCACCCATGATCAGGTCTTCCCCTCTCTTCTCTAAGACACAGCCCTTGAAAAAAATAATAGTTGTAGGTGAACTCTGCAAACTGGAAATGAATGGACTAGTGAGCACTTGCTTTAACCCAGATATAAACGAGCTGGTTAATTTTGCTTTGTCTCTTCTAGTAGCTGTCCAGCTAACTAGAGGAAGGGGGGGGGGAAGAGGTTAAGGATCTTCAGAATTGATAAATATCACACACACAAAGTGTGGGGGAAAGCAGGGGAGTGCAGACTTGGAAAAGGGTTACTCCCTTGGGTTTATGAGAACCATGAATGAGGGCTCCCAAGATTGGGTAGCAGAGCAAGCCCTCGCGGTGGTAAGTGCCTTAGGGAGTAAAGTCCTAGGTTTGGGCAGGGAGGGGTGGTGGAGGCTGCGGGAAGGGTAGCGTTGGAAGGCAGGAGGAGCTGTGTGGGCAGCATTTCTGACAGTCAGGTCAGAGCCCTGGGTCCATTCTGGGCCTGGACTCTTTCTGTCCCCACAGAGCTGCCAAACCCTCAGATTAGCCTAAAACCTCCTGACCTTCCAGGAATGAATGAGGCTTTAACAGTCTGGGCAGCTCCCGCCCTCCTGCAGGGTTACTCCAGAAGGGAAAAGACGCCCTTTCCTCCTAGATCAGACCCCGCATCCTGGAAGTGGCGCTGAGTCCACACAGGAAAATCCTCTAGAGATAGGGACGGTGGGTGGGTGGGGGTGCACCTTTACAATGACAGTCATCTCCTAAAAGTCATTCGGTCTTTGTCCCACCCAGAAAAATCTGTTGCTGGGAGAGGATTACTTTGTTTCCAAGATTTATGCTAATTATTGGAGTCCCTGGAAGCAAAGCGGACTCTAAGTAGTTAGGCCTGGATATGGCACCTTCCCCATCCCACCCGTACAAAGGCAGCAGTTCCCGGCCGGGACCGGCGCGCTCTTAAGGTTGAGGAAGTTCTGCGGAGGCCGAGGGAGCCTCGGCAGCGTGGAGTGAAGTTCCGCAGGAAGGCCACGAAGTGAGAAACGCCACCCTTGTAGCGGACTTTTAAAAGACTTCAGTGCCGGCTGTCCCAGCCAGCTTTGCCTCGTCTCCCCAGCTCCAGGACCGACTCCAGCGAGCTCCCGCGCTGCAGGCGAAGTGCCCGCGGAGGCTCGGAACAAGTGCGGGAGCCCACCTGGCCTCCCAGCGATGATGCTGCGGGGACGCTGCACTGGCCTGGCGCTCACGTGGTAACGGAGGGCGAGGGGCTGAGCGGGATTACACTGAGCCCCGAGTCCCTCCACTTTCCTCCCTCCGGCTAGGGCCCGCCCTGGCGGGGTAGCCACGCACCAAGCGGCTGGGTCCCTGGGTCGCTGAAGGATTCCGCGGGTCTCCACAGCCCTCCGGCTTCCCTGGGGGTCCCGGCAAGAAGGAAACCCCGCGCCCGGGTCCCGCCCCAGAGGCTCCAGCTCCCGAGTGAGATCAGAGAAGCAACCGCGGTGCAACCTGGAGAGCGCCCCCAGTCTGCTGTCCTCCCCCCACCCCCAGCCCCGGCGCGGCTCACCCTCCGGTCTCGGCGCCCGAGTCCACGCAGTCATCCTCCTCGCCGCCGCTTGCCTTCGGGTCCATCGCGCGTCCCGGCTGCGCTGAGCGCGCGGGCGTGGGTGTGACCTGGGCGCACTCCCTCCGGTCCGCCCCGTCCGCCGAGAAAGCGTGTGCGCGCGGGTGTGCACGGGAGTGTGGCTGTGTGCACGAGGGGCCGCGCGGGTGCGCGCGGGTGCGCAAGCGTGTGTGAATGAGCTCGCGTGCTGCGCGCCTGTGTGTGGTGGGAGCATGAGTGGCGAGATGCGTGAGGTCGCGTGGGTCCGTTTGTGGGCTATGCTGTGCATTTACGGCTGCACGCGCCTGTGACTGCTCAGTGTATGTACCCGACTGTGGTTGTGACCGTGTGCGGGGTGTGCGTGTGTGTGTGTGTGTGTGTGGCACGGCAGCCGCCCTTCCCCCGGGGCCCACTGTTCGGGAATCCGAGGTCCCAGGGAAGACCCTGCGGTTGCCGGACCACGCGCGGCGAGTGGGGAAACATACCCGCCTGCACCGTGAAAGCAGGCAGGGATTTGTTTCCCTATGGGGAGCAGTTCCAACACCTGGGTATTTTCTTGTAGTTTCCTCAGAATTACCAGCGCTGAATTCTTTAACACCTTTCTCAGCACAGGTCTGGGTGGCTTCCCACCACCCAGCTTGCCAGTTTACAATAGGTGTCATGTATTCTTTTGTTATTTTTTTAAAAAAGCCTTTAAAAATAATTTACCTAGATTCAGGGGATGTTGCAGCAAGGGCTGATGGATATTTTAAAGTACCACCCGAGCACCTGCGGGTGGGTTAAGGATAACTGTTGGAGGGGCTCACCTCCCCTTTAGGAAGATGATAGGAGGAGGCAAGAACAGGGTGGGGCCAGGGTACCTGAACAACTTGGATCTAATTCTGAAACCCGTCCAAGCCATCGGAAGACACTCACTTCTACTTTCTTCTCTCTTAAGGCAAGTTATTTAACCTCTTTGAGTCTTCATTTCCTCCTCTGTAAGATGAAGCTATTGATACCTGCCTCCATCTCTGTTGTGCAGTAAACGAGACCGTGGACGTGAAATGCGTAGCATGGGCCGCTCTCCTTGCACTTAGCGCATGAGCTCGCGATAACGCATTCCCAATCTCAGGTCACAAAGCAGTGTCTCTCTGGATGACCATGTTATGGTGAAGAGGAATATGGCTTGTTTCCTCACTCCCTTTCTTCTTCCCTTTTGTTCTTCCTTTCTACGAAATAGTACTCTTAAGATTCTTATTTTAAGTTAACCCAACAAAAGAGAAATCTAATTAACAAAGGAAGAATAAAAATATAATCTCACCATCAAGAAATAAAAGAAGGTTAATATGCCAACTCCAAGCCTGGCTTGTCCTTATGAAGCCTAAAATTTCTTATATCCAAAGCAGAAAGGGATATACATAGTACGCTCAATTCATGCTCATTAGATGAAAAAAAAGGAGCATGTCACTATTTCAACAAAGTTGTTTTCTCCTGTACACTGATTTCTAAAAGATATTAATGGACGGGGCAAGGGACATTGTGAGTGATATACTTACATTGTGTCACTAAGTTTTTAATTCATTGATTCATCTGATAACTATTGAAATGCCAAACAGGGGAACCAGCAGTTAACGTAATGGCTATGTCGCTGGACTCCGACTGCGGTTTGCGTCCCGGACCCAGTGGCTTAAAACTCACGCCGGGCGCGTGTGCGTGTGTGCCCAAGATCCTGAGAGGAAAATGGAGGAGAAGGAACTGAGGCGTGACCATCCCCCCTGGGGGATGATTTCTCGCTTTCTGTCTCTATGTCTCTCTCTGTCTGTCTGGCGAGCGCACGCGCCCTATAGCAAAAAAAACCGAAAAAAAAAAAAAAAAAAAAAAAAAAGCCAAACAGGAGGATGAATTCTGGATATTATAGTGAGGGAAAAATAGTAACAGTTAAGATTCCTGTTCTCACAGACTTTACAGTCCAGAGGGGAGACTAACTAAACAGCTAAATCATATGTGTGTGTGTGTGTGTGTGTGTGTGTGTGTGTGTGTGTACATTACAAAGCAGCATAAATATAAAAAGCAAATGGAGATAACCCCACATGAAGGAAAAAGAATAGTGCACCTTGCGAGAGAAAGAGCAAACCTAATTTAAATTGGAGTGTCCGGGACAGCTCTCTCAGGGAGGGATAACGAAGCCCCTTTCTGCCTCAGGCCCTTTGCTCTTTGTGTTCTTTCTCTCTGGACATGTTTTCCCAAATTTTCTGCAAGACTCCTTCCATATTTCTTTCAGGAGTCTCCTTGCTCATCAGAGAGGCCTTTCTGACTAATCCTATGTTGTGGCATCTCTGACCTTGCCTGTTTCTTAGAACTCCACCAGCACCTGGCAGAAGGTACACTTATTTACCTACTCTTCCCTCCCCACCTCTACCCCCAGCATGCCAGCTCCATGAGAGAATGGAGCCAGTGTGTTTCATTCACTTCCATACCCTACACACCTGGAGCAGGCCCCAGAGTAATGCACATGTGTTGAATGAATTCAAGAGAAGTAGCCCCAGTGTCAGGATGGGAAGAGAGGAAGACTCTCTGGGAAGAAAGTCCATCAGGTAGGAGGCAGGATCAGGCACTATCACTGATGATAGCAAGATGTTTGACATTGATATGAAACCTGCAAGAAGTCAGCAACAGACCATGACAGCATCTCTGGAAAGGAGGAGCACAACTGCAGTGTTAATGAATCCAGGCTAAAGGGAGAGAGAAAGTGACCAGATAGGTGTGTACACCGAACATTCAACCACCCTGTTATCCTTACCGCTGTGAGGGAGCCTGCTTTTGTCCACTGTGTTTAGGGACAATCAAAACCTGTACCTCATTCAATCTTCAGTGAAGTTTGGTGAAATAGGCTTATTTTTCCATTTTATAGTAGAGGAAACTAAGCCCTATTGAATTCAAATGCCTTTTCCAGGCCACCCAATCCACAAGGAGGTAGCCAGGCAGTCCATATAACGTGGATAGAGTCCATGCCATCTATTTAGAGGGCCACTAGGTGGGCAGTCATATCCTTGGGAAGATGGCACTGAAAAAAAAAGGCCGGGGAAGAAGGTAAAATCCTCATGACCCTTACAAGTGTCTTGGAAAAGAAGAGCTACCTAAATGATTTCAACCTGTCTCAAATATCCAGAAAAAAAGACATACCAGACCACAAACCTGGGCCATATCTTAAGATGAAGCATTGACTTGGGTTCCCTTCAACCATCGGGGACACGAGTGTTATCATTCGTCAGTGGCATAGCTGGCTGATTGCAGCTCGGTGAGGCATTTATTATTGGGAAGAGAGGTTTGAGCATACTGCTATATTCCAGTTAGGCATGGGCTCCTGCTTCAATTCCTCAGTCTTAGTGGCCTCACTTTCTTCTTCACATTTTTGGTGTAAGAGCTGACAGCAGGTAACTCAGACAAGAATCTTGCAGTGATCATATAGGGTAACTAGTTCATAACTTAAACATGGCTCCTTGGCTTTGATTTTCCTGTTATTTAATGGTGATCATTTTAATTGAGGGTGAAATGTCATTTTCCTTACCCCTAAATGATGGGGACAGAGGAGTGGCACTAGTCTGCTTAGGGTGCCCTGTCACCTGCCCTAAAGATGTTTCTTTCATAACCTGAGGAAAGCACTAGGAGAACACTGAAGTATACCAAGAAGTGGAATAAGCCAGGAAATATGCAACCAACTCCTGGACCTGAATCCACTATGTTCTAGTTCCTTATATTCTCCCCTCAGGAAAAAGGTCGACTGTTTTTATGTTACGTTCTTACTCAGGAGTTGTGGTAAAGGATTTGACATACATGATCTTTTAAATTCTCACAAAATCCTTGTAAGGCTTCCATCATTCTTAAAATGAGGCTGTTTATCTGTATCTCATGGGAGGCTTAAAGTCCTTTAGAAACTATAAAGCATTTAAACACATGATGTCATTGATTTTTGATTACCTTTTCTCAGAAAGGTCTGAACATCATTCTCAATTGTATTTCACCTTTCATGTTCATTTTAGTCTCTACTGATAATATTGCGTGTTTTGGTGTATTAGAAAACAAGACCACTCATTGTTTTATTTATTCATTCATTTATTGAATACTCAGTGCGTGCCAGGCAGTGGTTGGTGCCAACAATCCTTTGGGGAAGAGCCCAGAGCTAGTTCGTGGCCTAATGGAGTTTTGAGGTCAGGAGAGGACCATTTATCATGTTCCCTGGCCTATAGGCGGAGCTGGTCTTCCCACCAAGCCTTCCTTAAATGGCTTCCTGGAGCCCCACCAGGCACCTGACAGGTGCATGGTGCCATCAGTCATTAGAGTAGGACTGAAAGTAGCCCTTTGCTGAAGAAAAACTTGAAATAATATGGTGATAAATAAAGAGTATCAACTTTGCTGATGGAAGAGGGAGATTAGTAGTTAGAAAGGCCAAAAGGGACTGGAAAGGGGCCAAAGGTTCTGAAAAACAGGAGATAAATAGCTTTAAGATAATAATTTTAAACCAAGAGACTGAAGACAGATAAAAACAAAACAAAAAAGTCTCCAAGACATGAGATTTGTCTGGGTTTGGGTTTCAAGGTAGAGGAAGTTAAGCCACTTTCTTTGCATGATTCTGTACTATTTCCCATAAGACCAGCTTCATCTAATATAGTCCTTTGAATAAAATACTTGTTTAGGTTATCCACTGCAAATAGAACTGGAAAATAAGTTGGTTTGGGAAGTTCTCTTTTTTTATTATTTCTTTATTTAAATTTAAAAATTTTCAGTTTAAAGAGAGACATGAAAAAAACCCTCTTTCTTCCAAGACTCCAGAAGAGTTTGTCTGATGTGAAAAATAAATATTATGATCATGACAAGAGAAATTATAAACTATTGACAAATCTACTTAGACAAAGAAAGCCACTAGCCGTGCATGCAAACATAAGGGGACCAGATGGCAAAGGGATAAATGAAACGAAAGATAAACTGTTGAGTCGGAAAATAATCTCATTAAAATATAAATGACTCAACTTTGATAAGGGAGAGCAGACATAGGGTTCAGTCTTGGAGCCTTCTCAAGAACTCTCAGCCTGAAGTTTATAGGG